AAGGATGGTGGGAACAAGGTAAAGCAAAGAATGCCACGTGTCAAAAAAACAAATTAGTTTGAGAACTTGCTGTGGCTTCTCTGCATGGGGCAGCTGACAGTGGCACATCTCTGCCAGCTTCCACCTCAAGCAGCTTGGACAGACTCCCCGGTTGCTCTGTGGGGGCAGGGGACTAGCCTAAGGAAAAGCCCCAGCAGGGGGAAGAGAGCCTTCTCTCTGTTTGCAGCCAAGAGAAGTGGAGGTGGAAGAACAAACGTGAACTGCACAGACTCCTGTGGCCATGCTGTTTCTCAGAGGAATTACCTTTGTCCTTCTTGTCTCTTATGTATATCACATCATGCCTTTGAGTTTAAGGCTTAAGGTGTTCTTTTTTTGTGTTTTTAGATCCCTCTAAACATAACAAGTTGGTTTTCCATTTTCATGTGAAACCCTGCAGTACCTTTAGGGAAAATGGGAAAAGAGAAACTATTCCAATGAGCATTTTCCTTCCTCCTGAAAAACAGCTCCTGCCCCTTTGCTGTCTATCACTGACCTTCCCCCAACCCAGTCAAGTGATCGGCCACTGTCTTCTACTCCATAGAGGTAGTTTTCAGATTTTGGGGTGCGTCATTTTACCTGGAGAGGCCTGGGCGCCTCAGAAGAGAGCAGGGCCTGGCTTCTATATTTTTACAAGTTTCCCAGGTGAGATTAACACTGACCAAATCTGGAGGAACCCTGTTCTTGAGCTTCCTCAGGGTCATGGTCTCCACTCCAGCCTGGTTCCTCCTCCTGACACATCGAACCTGTGCTCTGTGTCTCTGTCACACCAGCCCTGTACTCTGCAGCACACACCATCATTTTTAAGAAAGCACATCGTATCATTTTTCCTCAGGCGTGTGTGGTTTATGGTGGCAGGCATGAGCTGATACCCATGACCTGCAGCATTGACAAAAGCAAAAAATAAAAGAGGGAAAACCCTCATGGCAATTGCCTGAGCAAATGCTGAAACAAATCAGCAGGATGGTTGTGAACATGTTGAGTTTGCAGGACACTAAGATTAAATGTTCTTAGTTCACAGGGACACTGGGCATCTGTAGTTGTTGTTACGTGTCATCGAGCCAATTCCAGCTCAGTGACCCTACATATAACAGAATGAAACATTGCCCTGTCCTGCAGCATCCTCACAATTATTACTGTGCTTGAGCGCATCATTGCAGCCACTGTGGCAATCCATCTCCTTGAGGGTCTTCCTTTTTTTGGTTGACCCTCTGCTTTACCAAGCATGATGTCCTTCTCCAGGGACTGGTCGCTTCCTGATAACATGTCCAAAGTACTTAAGACAAAGTCTCATCATCCTGGCTTCTAAGAAACATTCTAGCTGTACTTCTTCCAAGACAGATTTCTCCACTTCTCTGGCAGTCCATGGTATGTTCAATATTCTTTGCCAACAAAATAATTCAAAGGCATCAGTTCTTCTTTGGTCTTCCTTATTCATTGTCTGGCTTTCACATGCATATAAGACAATTGAAAATACTATGACTTGGGTCAGATACACCTTAGGCCTTGTTGCTTTTTAACACTTTAAAGAGGTGTTTTGGAGTAGATTTATCCAATGCAATATGTTGTTTGATTTCTTGACTGTTGCATCCATGGGTGCTGATTGTGGAACCAAGTAAAATGAAAATCCTTGACAATGTCAGTCTTTTCTCCATTTATCATGATGTTGCTTATTGGTACAGTTGTGAGGATTCTGGTGGTGGAGTGATTGAGAACTCGACTGCTAACCAAAAGATCAGCAGTTCGAATCCACCAGCCACTCCTTGGAAACCCTATGCGGCAGTTCTACTCTGTCCTATAGGGTCGCTATGAGTTGGAGTCAACTCCACAGCAACAGGTTTGTTCGTTTGTTTGGTTGTTTATGTTGAGGTGTAGTCCATACTGAAGGCTGTGGTCTTTGACATTCATAAGTAAGTGCTTCAGGCCCTCTTCAGTTTCAGCAAGTAAGATTGTGTCATCTGCATGTCACATGTTGTTAATAAGTCATCTCCAATCCTGGTGCTGCATTCCCCTTCATATAGTCCAGCTTCTTGGATTATTTGCTCAGCATAGACTTTGAATAAGTATGGTGAAAAGATACAATCCTGAACTACATCTTTCCTGATTTAAACCACACAGCATCCCTTTGTTCTGTTCCAGTGACTGCTTCTTGATCTATGTACAGATTCCATATGAGCACTATTAAGTGTTTTGGAATTCCCATTCTTTGCAATGTTATCCATAATTTGTTATGATCCACACAGTTGAATGCCTTTGCATAGTCAATAAAACACAGGTAAACATCTTTCT